GCCCAGGCGATTACGGCAGCCACGCTTTCCCGAGGATGACCAGTTTAGGGGACAGTTGTTACCAGGGTCATCAGCGAAGACCAGCAGAACACGTGCCCTGGTACCTGCAGGGCCAGCCGTGAATTTCAAGCATGCTAGAACCGCCGATGACTCAGGCAGCACGTGCGTGCGCCTCCAGACCCACAGAGCTGAGATTTCCAGCTATTCACGTACCTGCTTTTGATCACCAGCTGTTTGTTTGGGGTTTTTTGTCTTCTTTCCCTGGAAGCTTGAGTTTTAAACGTGCATTCAGCACTCTGTTCAGCCCATCATTTCCATCCCCTTCACTTACTAAGTGACCTACTTTCTCCCCTGTAGCACGCAGAAAACACTGTTTTGGGCTCCCTCAGCCCTTCAGTAGATTCACTCCTGCCTCCTTACAGCTCTGCCTCCACATCCGTGGCTGTAAGAGCTTTGGGCTTGAGTTGTCCCCTCCATTTTTGTCTCAGGCCTTTGAGCATGGACTTTCCAAAGAGCAATTATGTCACACCAAAGACACCTTTCATGCATCTTCCTCCTTAGGCTGTGCTTCGTGTTCCCCCCACTCCCGTGCACCATGCCATCCTTAACTCAGTCACTCGTGCTCAGCGAGCGGCTTAGGCACCCAGCAATGACCCTACGCTGCTTCTTCCCGTGTCACCTATCCAGCCTTCACAGTCCACGCTGTGCTGACAGCCAGCCCCGTTGCTCCTGCTGGGCCTTTGCTCTGCTGGCTCTCGCCTGCTGGCTCCTTCCCTTCGCCTGCGCTGAGCGTGAGCAGCTCACTTTGCTTACCCGGGTGTTGCAGACGAGTCCAATTACTAGAGTTCAGCAAACTCTGATTCCCCTCCCTGGCATTTCATCCAGCCCACTTATCCGCCGAGAGTTTCTAATCCAAACAGCCTCCCAGCACACAATGTTCCAGTGCTCCCAGGCTCTACCCAGCCTCCGTTCTGCCTTCTCCCCGCTCACACAAGCACTTGGGGGATGACATTCAGCCCCCGGGGATGCAGAATTCACTGGGTGGAGGGGAAGCAGTGCCTCCAGCAGCCATTCCTGACGGTACGGAGCAGGACGCCGTCCTGGGCAGGCTCGCAGCTCTCCGAGATGACCCAGATTTCAGCTCCTCTGCAGGCCCAGAAAACGTGCTGCCTTGCTCGGCCGGCCAGCTCATCCCCTGCTCAGCTCTTTTGCCCACAGCACCATCACCATCTGCACTCATGTCAGCCTCCTCGCTTGCTCACACACCAGCGGCCAACTCTGCCCCAGAGGACCTGGATACACCTGGGAAGGGAAGGAGGGTGTGCTGTGCAGGAGGCAGCTGCCTGTGGCCACAGCAGGAGACGGGGATCCCACTCCGTAACGCCTGGCAGCTGTGGACCATCAGGTGAGTCTCCTTCCGGCTGCCCAGGGATGCACACTCACACCCCCACCACACTGCCTCTGCCACAGTGGCCAGCGCAGCCTGCAATGCAGCAAGATTTTAGCCAAGTACACCAGGACACCAACACGTCTCTTTCCAGCTGCCTTCCCCACTTGCCCCATGCTCCCTGCACTGCCCTCACTGCCACTCCTCTTCCCCACTCCCTCCTTTTCAGTCCTCCTGGGCACTCCTTGCCTAACTCACTGGGTCCTGGTGGCAGCTGCTGGCTAATGACAACCACATGTCTCGTAGCCATGGTCCCTCTGAGCAGCCAGAGCCTGGTGTTTGCCTTTCAGCTCCCCAGAGAGCTGCAGGTTCTGGCTCAGCTCTGCTACACAGGGCTAACAGCTCCTGAAATCCCCATTCAGAGGCTTTCATTCATGAAATACAAGGCAGCAGACCAAGCGCAGGACTCTGCCCCTCAAGGGACACCAGACTGCTGGCCATCTTTGGCCAGCTGTGGCAGCAGCGCCCGGCAGAAAGTGCTGTAGGGAACAGGGCAGGAACAGCGCGAGCAGGGAAAAACCTCTGCAGCCTGGCAAGACGCTGAGAAGAAACTGCCCTGCAATAGTTACTGGGACCAGAGCAGGGAATGTAAACAGCCCAGCATCCACAAGGAGGTCATAACCTCAGAGTCCGGTTTCCCTTCCTCTTCTCCCTTCTGCCTAATCTCCAAGAGCTGCTCTGTTTACTAGCAAGATAAGTCAACAAACAAAGGAAAGTTCCGAAGCAATGATTTTTCTTTTTTTTTTGGCCAATTCACTGCGTGTCCCGGTCCCAGGGTGCACGTGTGGGAGCGGTCTGTGCACACCATGGCAGCTGGCGCACAGCAACACACGGGGACGGCCAGTAGCAGAGGCAGGGACCACAGTGGGCACAGCCCTCCCCTGCCCTGCCTGCAATGCAGCTGCACAGAGGGGTAAAAGCGGGAACTGCGTTACCCTGTGCAAATGCGGAGCCGCGCAGGCCCTGCCCCAGGGAGCCTCCAACTTACGCAAGATGGAAGAAAACAGATACCTAAAGCTGGGGAGAAGGGGGAAGAGAAGGCAGCAGGGAACAAGGACATGCCTGGTAAGCCCAGCGGGGCCCAGCACAGCCGAGCCAACAGCAGGGCAAACCCTGTTACCCTCTACTGACTCTCTCCAGGGGCAAAGGACGAGACAAGCTCATCGAGGAGGAAAACTCTGACTTCCAGCCAGGGCAGCAGCACCACCCAAGCACATCCAGGCAAACCCAGATGTGTGGCCTTTTGCCAGACGTTCGAGGGATGCAGCGAGCTTCTTTCCCCAGGCTCATAGGTGCTCTGGCTTCCTGGCACACAGGGGCACTTGGGGAAGCAGCAGGAAGAGAGAGGGGTGGAAGGACTCTCAGCCCAGCTGAGGCTTTGGGTGAGAAATCACCTGCAATACGTCCTCAAGGCCCAGCGCACAAACTGTTGGTATCTTGCTGGGGATCCAACAGTCCCTGGATGGCAGCTGGCTGTAGGGTGAGTCCTAAGAGAATCGGAGAATCACAAAAAAGATGCAATGAGCACCCAAGGCCCTACAGGCCCCTGCAGAAAGCGCCCGCTGAAAGCGTCCAGCATAAACCAGTCTTTGGTTTCCTAATCTAAAACAACAGGACAAAGAGCAGAGCCACGGAGTAAAGCAGCGCCGCAATGAGAGTTACACCGTGGCTCCTGCCTGCTCCCTGGACACGGGGCTCCAGGAACTAGACACAAAGGAGCTACATTCCTGCCTTATCCAGGGCCGGTTCTGGCTCTGCCAGCAAGAACAATTGGACTGCCAGGAACTGCGCCTTTCCCACCCCATTTGCTTTGGCTCTTTGCGTCTAGAACACCGCACGGTCCAAAGTAAATCCCTGCATATGGGCTCTCCCTGCAGCTCTGCACAGAC